AGCATTAGCAGGTACACCCTCATTAAAAAATAAATAAATAAAAATTAAAAAACTAAAAAAAATGAGCCGAAATATTCGAGCGTTGAACTGAAGTACTCACTGGTCATGGCAGAAACAAATCTGTTGAAGGCCACAGAATCGCGATACACCGCCCCAACATAACCGTACTGCAGCTCCTCCTGAACGTAATCCCTGAATAATGAAAAAATATATATTTTAATATCAGGCTCACAGTAATGTGTTCTTGTTGACAAATATTTTCAGAAAATACAGAGAAAATGAATCTCGGCAAGTAATTACTTGGCCTGTTAAGAGTGTTTTGTACAAGAGGTTTTTAAACTTTTTTCATTTTTAGATATTTGTTTATGAAATGTAAATGCTTTTAAAAGCTTGATACATAACTCTGCAAACAGTACAGCTACCATCAAATTGGTATGCAACAGTTCATAGTTTCAGTAACACAACACACGCAGGGATATCTGCACCCACAAAAAGCCTTCATTATTTCCATGTCTTCCAAAACTATAAACTTCATTCAGGTTTCTTTCTCATAAAGTGTTATTTAAGTGCTTTATTTCAGACAGGCTTTGCAGGAAACTAGGTTAAGTATCTTAAAGCAACATCATTGAATAAACATACTGCAGTCTAAAAGTAAATACCTCAACATCTAGTGCAACAAAGGTCAGTATTTTATACAAATCAGGTTATTAATGGAATAATTCTGTGCTGCAGAGTGTGACCGATTGCTGCTGGAGCTGAAAGCTGATACCGTTACAATAAATCTAGATCAGTCCAAACAACGTTAGCAACACAGAAACTCACTTGGAAATCTGATGCCCCATGTACAGAAGAAGGGCAACGAGGATGTGAAGGTAGAGCGTCACAATGTGCCTCAACGGCAGAATTAATACCACCCCGTTTATCAGGTGAGCTGGAAAACAAAGCAGAGAATTCAGGTTTTGTTGTGCCTGTGTGTGTGGTTTGGTATTTGCTACCTCAAGGGGACCATTTGTCACACCACCTTGTGGGAACTCAATGCTTTTATTAGGAAACAAATAGATCCCCCCCCCCTAGATACAGATTGTGTTTTTAGGGTTGAGGGTTAGGTTTAGTTATGGGGGTGTTTATGTTTAGGGTCAGGGCTATAGAAATGGCTGAAAGTTCACATGAGAACAGAGGTTAGGTTAGGGTGCGGTTAGCCTGTTAGCCTTTGTGCTAGCGCCGACGCTATATTGCCTTATAGGTAATAGCTCAGCGCTAGCGCGACAAACAAGCTAAACTGAGGTCCTCCATCCATATTTTCAGTTGCAGCCGAGTCATTTTTGTGTTCCCCTCTCTGTCATGTGGATGGAGGACCTCAGTGACGACAGGAGAATGTGTAGCGCTGAGCTAATACATATATATGGTGATAGTGTCGGGGCTAATGCTAAAGCTAACTGGCTAAGCTGAGGTTCTTCTTCCATGAAGCAGCTCTGTTGTCCTCCATCCATATTTTCAGTTACAGGCTGAGTCATTTCTACCTTCTCCTCTCTGTCAACGCTCTCTGGTTTCATTTAAAAGAGCCAATCATCAGATATTGTCCGAGATTAACCTTTAGGGTGGATATAGCTCGCTAGCGGCCTCGCACCGAGGACCTATCAACGTCACCATTTACCCAGAATGCTTTGCATGTAAATAAAATGGCCCCGTYCGTGTAATATATTTTTAAACTTTTAGTCWAGTGCTGGGCGGTATCCGGTTTGTGCCGAACACCATTTWAAATTTTTGCTATGATATGARCTTTCTGAATACCGACATACCAGTTTAAATAGCCTGAACACGTACGGAAYGTTTCATCGCGGCCGCCAGTGAACTGTTTCCCGGAGGACACTTTTCTTCGCAGCACCGCTATGTGCGTTAGCATGCTAATATATTGTTGGAGTAGCTTGTTGCAGCGGCAGGTGGCGATTCCGCTGCTTATATTGGCTGACGTAAAAAAAAAACATTCCGTTTTACCATCGCTTAATGTCGTAAACACCTCTTCAGTGACGTGCATGGTTAGATATAACACGCGACGTTAATATGGAGACGTGGAGACGCATGATGACTTTAACATGCTTTTATTGTGAAAAGCCTGGGGGAAGAAGTTTTGTAGTGGAGTTGAGCTGACTGGTGTGCAGGATGTGTTGTCCTGATAAGTTTAATTAAATAACGTAAAATAATAGACCCGATAATAATCTTTTCTTAACCCTCCTAAGAAAAATACCGTGATATACCGTGAAACTGGTGTAAATGTTGAAAATACCGTGATATAAAATTTTGGTCATACCGCCCAGCACTAGTTTAAAAATTATAAAATCTAACAAGCCTACAGTATTTTCACAACTTTATTTTACAGTTAAAATATATTTTTATCAAATAAAGTCTAATGTTACAACTGATCATGGATCCGTTTAAGAAAGTCTAAATCTCGTATCTATGAGAATATATACAACACTTGACAAAAACTACTTTTCCCTGGAACCAGCAGCTTTATCAAAGGAAACAAAAAGTATTGATTGCCAGAATTACACAAGTCAGAAAAAAGTTTCTCCTCTGCTGAAGGTGAAAGAGCAGAAATGTTTCTGCACGTGTTTGTTTATTTTCTGAATCAGCWAAATGTTGCATGAATCAATGAGCCGAAGTAACGAAACCTCGAGAATGACTGCATGTCCATCCTCAGTTGATTCATTTTTTGGGGTTAACCCAATTTAAGATGGCCGCCACAGACAAAGCAGAAATATCTCCAACTCAGTCAGTTTCACAGCTACTGGGCTGGTGTGATAGTTGCTGAGACACACTCCAAGCACAAACACATCTCATCACATTAGGTCACATATTGTCATGCATCTCATTCACAAGATTGGTCCAAAATGCCTGTAGCTCTAACGCCGCTCATCACAAGATTTAGTTTAAAACTCTAGCGTGAAAGGTGGTGAGCCACTGGATGAATCACAAGTTATGCAAGATGCCTTTTGAAATTTGGTATGCTTGTTTGTCTTTGTGTTTAGTGTATAATAATGTGTTGTGATGTTGGATTTCTGAGTGTTTTGTGTTCTGCAGAACAGGAACCAGCTGTAAGAGCAATTATGCTGAGTCAGTTTTGATTTCTTGTAATCTTTTCCTGTTTAAATAAACCAATCAATCAAATAAATCAAGATAAATAAAATATCCTGATGCATCTCAGTAATCCAGGTAAAAAATCAAAAAGAAAAAAAAATTGTATAGGTCTTCTGGACGGGTTCTTCTCTAATGAAAMGTTTCGTCTCTCCTCCAAGAGACTTCTTCAGTCTGAGAGTTTCAGGCAAAATTCAGGCTTTTAAGCCCTGCCTCCATGTGACTGATACTCACATCACATGGCTATCATTGACACCTAATTAACATCTATTGTTAACAGGGGGTGGAGTGATACTGGCAATAGCCGCACTGTAGGAGGGGGACAACTGAAAACGGAGGCCTCCACCTCTGTTTGATGATGGACGGTCTTTCTTCACAAAAATGGCTTCTTTTACTCCTCTCTCAAACCAACGTTCCTCYCTATCAAGAATGAGAACATCCTCATCTCTGAAAGAGTGACCGCTGGCCTGTAAATGAGTGAAAACTGCAGAGTTCTGGCCATTAGATGTAGCTCGTCTGTGTTGGGACATTCTTTTGAACAGTGGCTGCTTTGTTTCCTCGATGTATAACTGGTCGCAGTCCTCCTGGCACTTAACAGCATATACAMYATTGCTCTGTTTGTGCCGGGGCACCGGATCTTTGGGGTGAACCAGCCTTTGCCGTAATGTGTTTTGGGGTTTGAGATAAATAAGATAAATAAAAGTGTGACGCTGTTGTTGATCACAGTTTAAAAAAAACACCATAAGTAAACAACWGAGATTATAACAGGAACAGATCCGTTACAGAATGACTAAACCAAATCAAATGAACAGATGTGGTACAGAGTAACATGCATACTTACCAAGATAGTACATGTTCCAGACGACATACTTGTATTTGAAGAGCATGTCCTCATTTTTAGCCTTCAGGTTCTCTGTCAATCCTTCTATGTCACATTTATACAGCAGGTCCAGCACAAGAATGCTGGGCACCCTGAGGGCAACGTTGGCCAACTCCTCCAGATGAAACATCTCGACTACAAACACGTTTCTGCCTCAGCAGAGAGTCTGAATCACATGTGAGAGCAACAGCTGCACTGCAATCGTACTCGTCATCTGAAAAACACACAGACACTCCTCAGGCTCCAAGAATCAACTAAAACCTGTAACAGTTTCAGGGAACAGCTTTTAATTGTTAGTAAAATTGTCCTTTTTGCTTTATTCTCACATTCTGAGAGGCTCGACRGGCAATTAGACCATGGAGCAAATACATTTCGTAAAGTTGTTCAACTAAAAGTAACATTAATTCACTTACTTCGCTCAGTGACAGCCATCACACAGCCGAGCAGCCATTTGCTAACTAGCCCACGCTAGCTGCTGCAGGTCAGCTTTCACTGCAACCATCCCCATATTTCTACAGCTGAACTAACGCCCCCAAAATATTACTTTTCTTTTAATTTCAAYTCGTAAATATTCTACATTTAACTGTCAACAAACCAGCGAAATTAAAAACATTTTAAGTTTAGCAACATCACGAGTAAAAATGACTTAAATTCAATGTTGTGATTCCAGTCCAGGCGCTTGCGTGGCCATTTCCTGTGTGTACGTCACATGAGAATGAGCCAATCAGGTGCAGGCATGTTACATTTCAAAATAAAAGTTTTTTCGTCCAGCAGTGAGTGTATGATCTAACTACAGCGCTGAGCAGAACAGGCAAGAGAGTCTGGATTTACCGTGTTGGCATGGTCCAGGTYATAAATGTCAAAAGTGTATTCCAAGGCCATTCAACTGGCGGACTGAGGGCCACATCTAGCCCGAGGATGACTTCGGTCGGGCCCGCAGATGAATTAAAAAAATAATATAAATGAAATATTTTTGGACTTTAATGACAAATAAAATATATGCCTGCCAGTGATTTCAGTCAATATAAAATTGGATTCTTTTTAAACACAAATTATGTATTTTTATTTAAAAATATAATTTATTTTACATTATATTATAAAATGAAAGTACACTCTGTTATTATTATTGTTGTTGTTGATCTTATTTTTATTGCTGGATGTCCAGTCCCTGAGCTGTTAGCTTTCAGTAACTGTGGCCCATGAGCAATATACCTCCATGGTCCAGGTCACAGTATATTTTATGCAAAATCGAACAAATTGGATTCAAAATTTAAAAGTAAAATAAAATGATTTATTTCGGATAATGCTGAAAAGTTTTTTCTTGATACAAACAATCTAATAATGAAGTGTGACCAAAATTCACCAGTTCTTGCAGGAAACACAAACACACAATGTGTGAAACGCTAAGAATAAATACAGTCATGTACCAACACACAGATGTGGTCTTCCTGAATATTTTCAGTCCCAAAAGTTCTTCATAATTCTTTGCTTTCCAACAAAATGCACCATGATAATTTAATTTCCCACTCAATAAAGTAGAAAAGCTTAAAGTTCCCTTTCAGTCAATTCACTCGGTACAACATCATGTATGGGAACCACGCCCCTGCGTGTCCTGGCTCCCATACATGATGTTGTACCTCGTTCCTTTCCTTCAGGGAACAGTAGTTATATGCATAACATTACGTTTCTTCCATGGCTGACTAAAGACAAATGCAGAACTGTTTCTCAGAAAGGAAATGACTAAAATAAAGAAAGTTTGTTTAATGACTGCGTGCCTGCTAAGTTGCAAACCTCAATTTCTTATCTGTAAGCAGGAAGGAGATCTTTTCTAAAACCTTTAACCTACATGTGAGCCAAACACTTTACAGCAAATCAAAAAACAGAAAAAATAACTGATACTTCTGAAGAGAAATTATTATTTCTTAATAAAAAGTAAATTAAAGTATCGTGTCAGAAGAAGACTATGTGATTTATGAGAGAAACTTTTAAGTATACTTAATGGCTTAGATTTTCTTGGAAAAAAGATATTGAAGGTCATTATATCACATACTTATATTTGTAATATTTATTGCTGCTGCTGAAAAGTTTGCCAAAGGTTGGCAAGAACATTTTGCTTGTGTTTGTGTGTTAGCAAAATATATCATGAACTAGACACATTTCAAATGAGTCAATCAACCCAATTCAAGATGGCTGCCACAAAGTGGGTTTAACTGATTTTCTGACTGCTTACAGATTGTGCAAAACTTTTCATCCAAATTTGCCATTATCTATTTGGAGACAACTGTGTTTGTCTGTTAGCAAAATCAAGAACTGGATGGATGTTAACAAAACTTTCAAGAAATAATCACTTAATATTCATCTTAATATTCATGAGGAAACCCAATTTAAGATGGCCACCACAGCCAACTGATTGTAGAAAACACAGATTTGGTTTTCACATTTTGGGTTGCCCTTGTGGTTAAAAAAGTTAACTTAGACCTTTTAGTTTAAATCTATATTCAGTGGTTCAGTAAGTCACTTTGCATCTGATCTGTCCTTTTTAAGACCCAAATTCTCCTGGGACTTTAACAGGAATTTTGGCTGGGAAGGAGGAAGGGAGAGGAGGTGAAGAAGGGGAGGTGGGACCTGAGGAGGAGGATTGGCTCCTTCAGGACATAAGAGTTCCCCTCTCCCCTCTGCAGCAAAGAAAGAAAAAAAAAAAGAAGAAGCAAGATGAGAAAGTCATTGTGCATGTTGGCTGCAGTGATTTTACTGGGAGGCAGTGTGAGCGKAGACAAAGCGACCACCCTGAGTCCCTCAGTGTTCAACTTCACCACCCCGGTGAAGGTGAGCTGGACCGAGGCAGACAGAGCGTTTGAGCAGAGCAGAGATGCAGTGACTCCAACAGCAGCTCAGACCAAGCTGCTCTCCACCACCAGGAGCAGCAGACCTGTCAAAGACCCCACAGATGTCAGTGAAGACAGAGAGAAACTGAAAAACAACAGAGATGAGCYCAACACAAAGGACCAGAAAGAAGAACTGGGTAAGAAGAAATTTCAGCTATTAGATCAGTCTTTATAAGGCTCAAATATGTGCCACTTTCATCTCAGAYGTTGCCTTCAGGGACAATCTGAAACTCTAATTAGTTCCTTCAACTAAACTGGTGAAAAAAAAAAGAGATATTTAAAAGTTCGAGGAAAAAAGGTTCACAACAAAAAAGCAAATAGATTAGTTATTATTGGCCTGAAGTCAAGTAAATCAGCTGAACAAATAAGCAGTTTTGTGTGAGAATATTCACTAAAGTTTTGGACACTTTAAAGTCCAGCGTGTCGACAACAGTTCATGCAAGCAGCTCATTTTTTTCACATCAAACCATTCATTTCCAAGTTCTGCACACATTCTTGTGATTTAGTCTCAGTTTACTTGAACTGCACTTACACTTTTTAAACAAAGTGCTCTGTTAATTTGCAAGCTTGTCGTGTTTGGACGAAAGCCAAAGCCATGAACTCTTGCAGCTGAACATTTACTCTCCAGTTCAGCTCAAGTTACATTCAGATCCTCTGTGATTTCACTTATCTGCTGCTTCCTCCTCTCCAAACAAGCAGAGGAGGAAGAGGAGGAGGAGGAGGAGACGAGGGGCCCCAAATTCCCACTGAAGTGATAATTCAGCATACTCCAAATAAAAAAATTGGACCTCGTGTAAAGAAACAGCTTCTAGTGCTCCTTTCTTTTTTTTTTTTCCTGACAGCCTGTCCTCCCATCGGCCTGGAGTCCCTGCGAGTCGATGACAGCCAGATCCAAGCCTCGTCCCACCAGAGAACTGGTCTGGGCCCCCAYAGAGGAAGACTCAACATCCAGGTCAGTCTTCATCAGAGATGACCTTGAGTTTCAGAGACCTCAGATCTGTAAAAACAAACTGAAAAAGTAAGGAAATTTGTGTTTGGTTGATTATTTATTTGATGCAACAGTGCCTCTTGGGAATAAAACTTACATCAACCGAAAGTTTGTTGATTTCCCCTTAAATGGTGCCTCATTTGTAAAGAAAGGCATTTGWGGGCTGCAGCAGCAGAGTTTCTCAGTTAAATAAAACCTTCATGTAGTCAGAACTCATCATCTCAGCCACACACTTCCTGTTCTGCAACTTTGAATCTGAAGTCTGAAAGCAATTATTTCAGAAATATAGGTCAAAACCAGATTCGTATGCAATGCTTCGAACAAGCCAAGAATTCAGCTTTTTGGTGGCTTCTACAGCTGACAGATGAAAATAAATCCTTTTTTCCCCCCACTTCAGTCTGGCATTGAAGATGGAGACCTGTACGACGGAGCTTGGTGTGCTGAATATAAGGATCGGAACCAGTGGCTTGAAGTGGACACCATCCATCCCACYCTGTTTACTGGAGTCATCCTGCAGGGCCGGAACTCCATCTGGAGGTCAGATAAAATCCCTGTTCTGAATGCAAGAAAACACAACTGGAATAAACAAACAAACAAACAAATAGTTAAATCCCATTAATGTGGTATCAGTCAGGTGGTTTATTGAACCTTTAAAACAATGAAAAATTTAAAATGGGCTGTTCTGTGTTTTGGAAATTCACTCTTTGGAACAAAGCGCAGGCGTCTCACGGTCCTCTTGGTCTCTGTTGCAGTTGGGACTGGGTCCAAACCTACAAAGTTCAGCTGAGCAACGACTCTGTGAATTGGCAGACCTGCATGAATGGAACAGAGGAGGCAGTGAGGACTTTCTATGTGTTTGGAAAATGATCTGTTGAAACGAATGCAGCTGGAAAATCAGATTTGAAAGAGTTTGTGGCCAAAAATCATGTAGTATCAGAGAAAACTTTAAAATAAAAAAATAATCAACTAAAGCAGTCTGCAACCATTACTGTCGTGGAAATCTTTATTTACCCAAGATAGAAACACGTGATCCAAGAATAAAAAGTACTTTGTGAAATCAAAAAGAAAAAAATTGTATAGGTCTTCTGGACGGGTTCTTCTCTAATGAAACGTTTTGTCTCTCCTCCAAGAGACTTCTTCAGTCTGAGAGTTTCAGGCAAAATTCAGGCTTTTAAGCCCTGCCTCCATGTGACTGATACTCACATCACCTGGCTGACCCTGGAGGCAGGGCTTAAAAAGCCTGAATTTTGCCTGAAACTCTCAGACTGAAGAAGTCTCTTGGAGGAGAGACAAAACGTTTCATTAGAGAAGAACCCGTCCAGAAGACCTATAC